ATATATATATATATAAAACATCAATTTCATATTGCTGAACCTGTGCACTGATTTATCATTATGATTATATAAATTCTAAAACAAAGAAACATTATGGCATAAAATAAATGATTTTATTATTATTATTAAATTAGAAAAATGCAAAACAGAGAAACATTTTCACCAGTGGTCACAGACTCAGATACCACTTTACATATGTTGAAAATGCATATACTGTAGTAAGAAATAGTTAATCTTGTTACAGACCCTTTCGTCCAGATCATCTTCACTGTCATACATGTCCTGTGGCGTCTCCCATGTGTATTCAACATGGATCTGAGAGTTGAACTTCCCACTGTGGGCCAATTCCAGCTAAACATGCACACAAATAAAATATAAGAAATCAACAGCCAATTCACTGACTCAATTTTGACCAGACTGACAGATATCACACTATTAGATAGAGATTCAAATCCAGCTCTATTTTTTATTTATTTGTTTGTTGTCTTCATACTGTAAAGAGTCAATGGTTTGATGATCCCTCATTGTTTATTTGGAAACATTCATATTTATAACAGCTACTAGGTTTGTTTTATATGATATTATTATATGCAAGGGAAGGACAAGGGAAGTTCCTTATGAAAACACTGTCATATGAGACTTCAGGATATTAAACGGGATAAAGTTCAACCTAGTCAACTTAGGAATAATATCTCTACAAACATGTGCTCACATACACACAAAGTCAATAAAAGCTTTGTGCATTATGTGATACTCACCAGTTCGACACACAGCATGTGCTGCAGTCTCTTGGCAATGTCTAGAGCCGTCTCACCCGCTGAGTTCACTACAGGACAATCAGAACAAAGGAAGGGTCAAAATCAGGACAGATTGATCCATTTATTTGTCTGTTTTTCTATCTATCTTATCTATCTATCTATCAGTAAGTATACAAGTTGAACTCAGTCTGTCATAGTCTGTTTATACATCTATGTATGCATCCATATATCTATCCATAATTTTTATAGCTGAATTTGCATGTATGTGATTACTGTATACCTGTGTGCCAGTTCGACAGCATGTGCTGCAGTCTCTTGGCAATGTCTAGAGCCGTCTCACCCGCTGAGTTCACTACAGGACAATCAGAACAAAGGAAGGGTCAAAATCAGGACAGATTGATCCATTTATTTGTCTGTTTTTCTATCTATCTTATCTATCTATCTATCTATCTATCAGTAAGTATACAAGTTGAACTCAGTCTGTCATAGTCTGTTTATACATCTATGTATGCATCCATATATCTATCCATAATTTTTATAGCTGAATTTGCATGTATGTGATTACTGTATACCTGTGTGTAAAACCGCCTTTGCTTTGAGCAGAAGTTTCAAGCACTCTGGTTTGTTGTATAATGCACAGTAATGAAGCGCTGTGTTTCCTTCTGCTGTCTTCTTTTCCAGACAGCCACTGAGAAACACAAACACAAAGCGGTCAGCTGATGGACATCCTACCATGTACTGACAGATCCGTGACAACAGTAGATTTCTCTCACCAGTTCTGAGCTAGAAAATCCACCAGAGCCAGAGAAGTCTTCTCAGACATGCGCACAGCTAAGTGAAGACCGGTCTCCTTCAGGTCCTGTTAGACACAGAAGAGAACAAGTTAAATCTACTGGCTGCTGCCAACCAGCCACTGTCTCGGTGAAACAAACGTACTGTTATTCACCAGTCCAATAAATCACAGCAGACTGGATGAAGAGTGACGGAAAAGATTAATGAATTAGTCTGCAAGTTGGCGTACAACAATTCTCTACTTCTGAGTATACGTGTGTGTGTTAAAATAAAAATTTTGGTGATTCAGTCACTGAATCATTCAAGTCAAATTCTGTCTCTATTCTGAGACTATGGCCAAATAACACACACATACACAACACAAACTCAAACACAAGTACAGCAGTCAGTCATTACACAGCTTGTGTTCACTTCCTGAGTGGGCTGAGGAGAGGGAAATCTGATTAGAGATAGAAAAAAAGAGAGGAAATACAGAATTACAGAGAGAGAGTGTGAATGATGTGTGATTAGTGACGTATAACCACACAGATGTCTCATTTTTACTTATACAGTTAAAATGATCAAGAAAAATTAAACATCTATTTGACTAAACCACAGGAAGTCTCTGATGTGATGGATTGATACCTTTGAAAGCTCAAAACATCTCAAGAAATGTCTAAAGCATGAGTGACAGCATGTTTATAAGCCTTGATGTTTTTGTTATCATCATTGTGGTTGTGGTGTTTGTGTATATGGTTGTATTGAGGATCTCACTTGTCCTTCAGGTGTGGCCACTGGTTTAGACAGGTCCTCTCCCTCTGCATAGAGCTGTAGCAGTGACGTGAGATCTTTGTTCCTCACAGTGTCATACACATGATACGCTTCAGAGTGTTCTTTTGGGAGGACGTAGCGTCGCTCTGCATACTTCGCTACAATGTACTCCTTCCTCGCAGTCCTGAGATGTGCAAAAAAATCCAAAATGAGGTAAAAAAAAAAAAAGTCTGAGCTGAAAGCGAAAAAAAGACTGCACAATAGGACTCACATGTCACTTTTTGGAAGGGGCTTGACTGCATCACTGGGCATGTTAATTTCCATGATGTCATTAAACTTGGCGTTTCCAATGCTCACTGCCAACTGTGAACCAAAACACAACTGATAAACAGATGTTTGCAGTAAAACACTGAACATATGCATCCAGCTTTATGTTAGGTAATTTATCTGTAATCTAACTGACAACAAGTAACTAACTAATAAATAACACTTGTGTGCAGGAGCACTTGCACTGCTTTACTGTCAGAGGTAAAAAGTTTATATAAACATGTACAGATGTGAGCGAGACACATGTGAGTAAATGCTGACTCAGTCCCAGTGGATTATGGGTAAAAAGTTCAAGATAAATGTGATACGTACCACACAAAAAGAACAACAGTAAATGTGCAGAAGGTAATGGACTGTATAATGAATGGAGCTGAATTATCTTTTTAAATTTTATGACATCACACACACGTGTGTGTGTGAGTGTGAGTGTGTGTGTGTACCAGGAGCTCAGATGTGCTCAGCACGTCAAGAGTGAGAGACTGAATTCGTGAGTGATGTACTCCAAGCTCACGATGGATTCCTGAACACTCGATACAGGTGAGAATGCCCAGGTTAGTGGAGAGCCAAGTGGGTTCTAAAGAGTACAACACACATCATTCAAACATTTCTTTGCCACTCTTCACTGACCAATAAAGTGTTTTTTAGAAGCTCTTCATAAAGAGGATACAGTAATTTTTGGGAACAGACATAATGTTATGCATTGCTTAAATATTTCATTGATCTAAATAGTTGTGTAAGAAACACACAAAACTATTTAAGTCTTAAATTAAATGTCTCTCTCTAATCATCATTTTGATTTGATTTAGAATAACATAATACATAGGATTTCTGTATTTGAGGCCATTCTCACAGAATGCATTTTTGCATTTAAAAATAAAAAGACAGTAGTCAAACACGTCCATCTAGCACATTTTCATAAAAAAAAAGGAAATGCATGGAATGCAAAATGCGTTCTGTGTGAATGGCCTCTAACAGTATTTAAATGCATTAGGATCCTCTTTTCGAGACCTGGAGCTCCACAGTCACAGCAGGCCTCATTGCCTGGCAGGTTTCTCAGGCCTGAGATCACAGCTCGGACAAGCTCCTGCAGACCACTGTCCTGAAACTGGAGCTGATCTCCTCCGAGAGCCGTGTTCAAGGCCTCCTCCTTACTGTTCTGCAGCACAGAAACCCATCTGCAAGAAGACAAATGAAGGGATTACAAAAACAAAGACGTGCATTCATCTCAATAGGTGACCTTTCAGATACATCCGTTGTATCTTTAACATTTCAATGTCTTTCTTTATCTTACTCTTTCCTTTTTATTCTCTCTCCTCTCTAGAAGCAGGTTTTGAACCTGCTCTCTCCTGCATGTCTGTTCATGCCGCTTTGCAGTATATAATAAAGATTTCTATGTATATGGGTGTGTGTGAGCGTTCAAATTTCTGCACTTACATCATGCATTCTTGCTCGTCCTCAGCCTGGAAATGGTATGTGCGATTGTCTGCAAGGACAGAGAGAGAAAGAGATAAATAGTGTGCGCTTGGTGGGCCTCTATGCAAAGGAAACATGGAAAAAACATACAGAAAAAAAACAGGTCAAAACTAGCCACTCAACTTATCTGCATTTCATGATCCACATACACCTACATACTTATTCCTCCAAACTGTATTTACATACTTCTGAACACCTATATGCATAAAACACCTCACCTGGTTCACATACTGTATTTCACATCAGATTTCCCTGAATGCATCACATACCGGTCAGTTACACCAGCAGCACTGAATTATAAAGTCTATATATAAAATTGTGTGACAGCAGTGTAGCATACTACTGCTTATAACGTACATTGCCTTCTGTTTCACTTATTTCTAAAGATTAGTAGGCAGTATAGTGTGTACCACACACTATTCAATCATTAGCATGCTAGTTTCCCATTCCAAACAGTCCTTTTCTTCATACTACAGCAGAGATGAAAAAGGGTCAAAGGTCAGAGGTCAACGTACGTGTAACTAAATCAAACGTTCTCTTTTCCTCAGGGTTGGGCCGCACCTGACACGTCAAGAGGTTGAGCTTTGCGGGTGGTCTGTTGATCTGAGAGTTAGAGAAGGGTCATAACATGTTTAAAGTGCATACTCATCACATATGTGGTCACTCACTAAATCAAATGCAAACAAATCTCACTTGCATTTATGCTGTGTGCAGGATTAATGCTAAAGATGTGAGTAAACGCTTACATAAAGTTACATAAAGTTAAATACAATAAGTTAGCAGTGTTAATTGCTAAAACACTGAAGCTGGAAGCACACAGACATGTAAGCAAAACCAGTGAAGTTTTGGTTTTTGACAATGTGGATGATTCCAGATGAAACACTTGTGTTGTGTTTTTGGCCTATAGTTTGTGGTTCTGAAAGGAAATTGCTAATACATGAGCGATGAGTCTTTTCTCATACAGCATGGGGAAATTTGATTTGCAGGCCTCTGAAGCTCAAGTAATCACTCTAGAGACTAAGAACAGGAAACTAAATCAAACGTTCTCTTTTCCTCAGGGTTGGGCCGCACCTGACACGTCAAGAGGTTGAGCTTTGCGGGTGGTCTGTTGATCTGAGAGTTAGAGAAGAGTCATAACATGTTTAAAGTGCATACTCATCACATATGTGGTCACTCACTAAATCAAATGCAAATAAATCTCACTTGCATTTATGCTGTGTGCAGGATTAATGCTAAAGATGTGAGTAAAAGCTTACATAAAGTTAATGGTTGCTAAAACACTGAAGCTGGAAGCACACAGACATGTAAGCAAAACCAGTGAAAGTTTTGGTTTTTGACAATGTGGATGATTCCAGATGAAACACTTGTGTTGTGTTTTTGGCCTATAGTTTGTGGTTCTGAAAGGAAATTGCTAATACATGAGCGATGAGTCTTTTCTCATACAGCATGGGGAAATTTGATTTGCAGGCCTCTGAAGCTCAAGTAATCACTCTAGAGACTAAGAACAGAAACAGCCTTTGTGTGTCATTACCAATGTCAGTTTGCGATTTGTGCCCATTAAACAATAATCACACAAGCAAGAGTACCGATTACAGCATAGTGATTCAGCCATAGGATTTTATACAGAAGGTTTGTAAACAAAAAGTTAATATTAAGTACCTTAAATTCCTTTTAGCAAAAAAGATTCAAAAGCTGTAATATAATGAAGTATGTGTAACTGGAAGGTGTTTGTCTTTCTCAAATCTCACCGTGCTGTGTGAAATGGTGAGACAGCCATATTTTACCCCACACTTCCTCTTCTGCCAAACCTTTCTGATCCTGAAACACAAAGATCATGGAAAAACCCTAACAATCCACATTCAGTATTCATCAGTATTAGCATAATACCTCCATACTAAAGGGTTAATGCAAAGAAAAAGAAAAATATGTTTTACTTTTACTTCTAACGATTATTTTTTCACAGAGATAAAATGATCATATTCAGGGGTTCTTGGCATCAAGATTTATATAGTTGATTTGAGAAGCAGAAATAACTAGTAGCCAATTGTTAACTGTACTGATTCAGTAGCTCTCTAGTGAAGTTACAGTCAGTAATTTACTGACAACAAAAATGGCATTGACATGTTTATTCTGATGCACTGATCAAAAACCTAAGTAGTCTATGTGGGCATGTGTGTGTTTTGTGAGCTGTAGGTTGGCCTTAGAGATTTTAAGAGAGTGCAAGTAAGACTCTAGTGCAGTAAGAGACTAAACCACATTTAATAGAAAACATCTGTGTGAGAGGAACACTGTGACAAACACACATACACACACTCTCAGCTGTGAGCCTGGAGTCACAAAGCTCAGACTGATGCTTTATGCTGCTAACTATCTGTGGTGTACGACTCTCAGGATATTATAACTCACTTCATTTATTCTGCTTCCAGTTTAAGAAGAGGGCATATATATCATTACATTCACAGAGCAGTGTGGAGAGTGTTTCCTGAGAAACACACACTCACCCCATGTGACTAAAAGCAAACAGGAGCTGAATACTGCATCATGTCTGGAAAACCTTGAATAAACTCAGGTAATAAAAATAAACAGTTGGTCTGTTGTTGTTTTTGGGGGATTGGTGACCTTCTCAACTTGGGGAAGTAGACAGTAATGTTTAACTCACCCATCGCTCTTCTTAAGAAGGAATCCAGATTTCTCTGTGCCATATTTCTTATTGCCTTGTGGTTGGTGGATGCTATATCCATGGCCAGAGTTCTTCCTGTTTAGAAAATCCTGTGAAGACAGAACAACATTTATTATTATAACTGTCATCATCATCACCATCATCATCTCTGAACTTGCTGAAATAGAGTCTTTAATGCCAATTATGGCCACAGATGAGCTCTTTTGAGCTAGAAGTTGTGCATTCTGGGAGTTGTGTTTACTTTGGATATTACCTCTTTGCCATCAACCTGTAGTTGTGTTCTGAGTGAGTCACGCAATTGAGAGAGCTGCTTTACTTCTTCATCCTGCTCATGACGAACCTGTGAACAATCACAGTAAAGTGATATGGGGCTTGTTTTTGTGCTACACAATGTGACTGGTCTTGTGAATAGTTAACGTAAGTTATACACATAAACAAAAATACATTTGATAACTGAGCAGTTTACAGGCTTAAACTGGAACACGTCCCTTCGTTTTGTAATCAAGCCCAGGACCAAACCAACACAGCCAGAAATATTTAACGTAAGTTATACACATAAACAAAAATACATTTGATAACTGAGCAGTTTACAGGCTTAAACTGGAACACGTCCCTCCGTTTTGTAATCAAGCCCAGGACCAAACCAACACAGCCAGAAATACTGCAGTACTCAAAGCCTGTTTAAATTATGGCTTTGGCCCCCAGTACAAAATTCCAGCAATTTCTTCAACCAGTTTCCATAGTACTTTATAAAAGGAAATTATTCCTTTTGGAAAGCTAGATTGTGGTTGTTTCATTTTTGAGTTTCATTTCCATTTATGTGCCAAATGCTGATGCGTTATGATCAAAAGAGAGCAAGTTGAAACGGGAGAAATGTCACTTTAGAAACATTACCCGAACCAGTTCTGTTATAAAACACGGTCATCTCAACACCAATTCCACATGCCCTATCCTGCCTTCTCCTCATAGTATCAACTAAATGACAAACTTTGATACAAGAAAGATCATTTAATGAACACCATTATTATTGTTGTGTGATATTCACTCTAGACCGTATCAAATCTCTCTACAACCATGACCAGACAAGACTTGCAGAAAGAGTAATAATGCTGCTGGGAAACATCAACTGATAAATACTGAATATAATGTTTTAAAACAGCTTTTGGTTTATTTATTAGGGAGAATGAAGTGAGACAAATCTAAGAATCTAGACGCAATCAATATAATAGCTTGGGTCCAAAACTTTCTAAGTTTCCTTGCCATCTGCTGCTTACATAGGAAGCGGGTTTCTAAGGGAGTATCCTAACCATCATGAAACAGACTTTTGCAACTCTGTGTGTCATATGTCTATGCAAAGGAATAATACAAGCAACATAGCATTCCGTTAACATGTTGCTAAACTGTACACTTTAATTGGCTACCTAGCACACATTTGTAACATATTAAACTGTTTTATTCATATTTTTCAGTACTCATCCTTCATCTTGAGTATTTTATTCTTTCATTAATCTTGTTGAAATGCATTTTGGGATTGCTTTCTCTTCAAAAGATACATGCAATCAGACTTTAAAAGAGGAAAAAGGTGGCAACATACTTTTTGAAGCTGTCTATGATGTATTAAAATGCTGTCAAGGTAGGCTGCTGACTAGATTTTTTAACAAAGCTAATGTGTGTGCAAAAAAGATATACATATTCAGTAGAAATTCTGTAGAAAGTTAGTCTTTCAAACTAACTGTATCAGCCAGACTAGACATGTAAAATCAATGATAAAGTGTCAATGATAAATCTTCCTCGAATGGAGTTTGAAGAGTCTTATTTCATCATATTAACACTATGCCAGCTCGTGACTAACATGAGAAGCGAGATAGTTTCAAAACACTGAAGGTGTGTATGTGTCTGCGCACATGGTTGGACTTTCTGCATCACAAAAAGAAAACAAACAAAAACAAGATAAGCCATTATGTCTGCTTATCATCTCTCTAATAAATCTAAGAAAACAAACCATCCAGTTAGAGCTTCCCATTTACAACCCACAGCAAAAATGTATGAAATTTATGAATATATTAAACTACATTTTTATTTATTTATGTAACACACTTTGTCAAGTGTGGAGACTATGTATGTTATTCTATCTAAAAGGTACTGGGATTGACAAGTCTATTACCGTATGTACAGAGGCTGCTAACTTCTCCACAAATGGACCCAGGTGCTCGGCAGCCTTCAGTCCATCCTGGAAAAAACTGAGAAAACACAATCGCAGTGTTTAGCCATCTCAAATGTCAGTGACATCAATACACACACCCACAAAGCCACAGAGATTCAATCAATATAAACACAGCTGTTGAATGATTAGCAGGATTAAATCTTCACTGTACAGTTATTCAAATTCCTTTGAGATTCATATGCTGAACCCAGTCTTATAAGGGGCCTTAACCCAGAGTTAAGTGTAATGTGAAAAGCATAGTTTTGTACTAAAACCAACTTAGGTTAAATCTGCAACTGAAAAGAAAGCTGGTGCTTCTAGAGGATCTTAATTTGGTTTAGACGTACTTAAGTTGGGCTTGAAAGTACTTAATTAGGCTCTGCAGTAGATCTGGACCTTGACGAACTTTCAGCTCCTGAATCTTCAGTAAATACTATCAAACCAGAGAGAGAGAGGGAGAGAGAAAAAAAAGTCTGTCATTCGTCAAAGGACAATCCTACTCTTGTGTCCCAACATTGTGACTCAGCACAAAGCTACAGCAGATGAATCCACAACAAACATGAATTAAAGGGTAAAATGCACTACACAACTTCTTTGCAATGATTTGCATTCTGGAGGAGTCAATGCTAGTTGCCAAAACCAGTCTGCAGACTTTGGGCTGTCAGATTTCACAGATAATTGTGTAGTGTATGCATAAACATGAGTAAATGACTTTATGTAGATTAAAAAAGGTGAAAGGAGCCACTGGGGATCAAATGCTGTTAAGTTTCTGAACATTCTGTTTCTAAGCAATCTGTTCAAATAAATGAAAATTTACTCTATGCATATATGGATACAGGAACTTTCCAGTTAATTATGGTCACATGGTCGGTCAGGTTTGGAAGAAATAACGCATGTCTCCACTATAAAAAGAGAGCAAAGTGGAGACATCTGGAGCTCTGCGGCTGGGAAAGGGAGCACTGTAGGACACTGAAAATCCCCCTCTCTTTCATTATTCCTCCACTTCACTCCTTCTTTCCTTATTCTTTCTATTACCTCAGCTGGGTTCAAGCGGCGTAGCCCAAATTTCCCCAGTCCTGCTAACTGCCACGCACACAGTATATGGAACTTGGACATATCGCCACAGACATGTGGAGTGAGGTCATCAATAACCACACATGAACACAATGTGGCCTCAAACAAGAGTGTCTCTCTCAAAAACACCCCAAAGCCTTTTGGTTTTAGGTGACTTCACACACTGCCACACACTTACTGAATTTACAAAGAATATGCTTAATACCGCAGAGAGGTTAACAATCTGAGGTAACCCAGGAATGACTTTCTAAGACACACACATACAGCTGCACTAACTGCACTTATTCTCATTGAGACGCTCACACAATGTGGTCTTGGTCAGGTTCATTTTGCACACGTTTCATAAGTCTGTTAACCGGCCGCCCTCATATGGCCTCTTATACCTCACACATCTGCAGCTGGAAGTTCCTTCTTTCTCTTTCCATGTCCTCTGCTGTGTCTGTTGATTCCAACCGAATCATCCCATGCTGTTTCTGTTTCTCTCTCCTTTCTTTCTCCAGCTTGCCTCTGAAAAGCCGAAGTGAAAATGAATGAAGAAAAAGAGAAAAGAACATAATGAGACACTAGTTTAGCTGGTGGACTTGTCTTTTAGACAAGTCAAGTGGTGGTCTTGTATTAAATATTATAGGAAGTTGTGTACCAGGAGAACAATTTGACTCTGAAACTCACATTTTAGCATCATAATCCTTCCAGCTTTTCTCCATCTGTTTTTTCAGCTCCTGAGAGAAAAGAAATACACTATAAGAATAAAGAATTTTGTGCATATATACACACAGACAAACACACATTAAAAAAGTTCACACTGTGTCGCCTTAAAAGCGTGATGCAATAACAAAGGACACCTCATTGTGGACAATTAATATTGTGCAAGTAATAATATCAGGGTGTGTATCAAAACTCGATCTCAGAGCCCTGCAATATGTCTCCACTCATCATACCGGTTAAACTCAAAGAAAGGTGTGGTGCAGTTATTGCGTTTCTGACATTTGAAAACACAAACCCAAACAAGCTACTTGTCAAACCTTGTTACAAAACATGACGCACTGTTGACTCTTTAAAGGGATGAATTTGACTTCCTTAGCTTTATCAACTCTTTAATTGAATTCAATTATCAATTCAATTGGGGTTTAATGTGACGTTTTAGTCTAGTATGATGACAGTGTGACACAGGTGTCTGTCTCACTCACCAGCCTGCTGTCTCTCAGCTCAGTCTTTAGCACGTTCTCCAGAGGGAAAGAAATGATGTTGTTCAGGTTTTGCACCTTAAGAACCATCAGAAAGAAAACATAAATTCAGGCAGACACACACTCGAGAACAAACAGGTATGTAGAAATAATGTAACAGAGACATACACCAAAAAGAAACTAAAAACAACATCTGAAAGTCAGCCAGATCATAGTGCAAATGTTAATGTAAACTCTAACTCACTTTTCAAAGTGAGTGCTCACATTTTTACCCTGCAAGGCATAACCCTCCCTATAAAGCCTAGTCTGGATGTACAAATGCTCGCAAACCATAAATCTGCATTATAAAATTGCAAAAGGTAAAACTCTGTTTGGGATTTCTCCTTGGCCAAGTGCATAAAAGTGCTGAGCAAGTATAAATCTTCCTTAGGAAAGAATGTGCGAGGAAAAACCCACTGCAGGACGAAAGAAGAATCAGACCGAATCATTTCAAACAAAGGACAGCCTTTCGGACATATTTTCCATTTAAATGTCATTTTAAAATGCACTGACAGCATTGTTAATTTTTTTTATTAGTGTGTTTATTATATTATGTATTATTATATATTATGTCATTATATATAATAATATATAATGACATAATATATAACATTATATACAATGTCATTATATTATGTATATTTATTATATACAGCCACTGTGCTGTATAGAGACAGGCATTGGTACTGAATGATAAAAAAACACCTTGCTTGACCACCAAAAAAGAAAAAAAAAAAGATACTCAAACCCAAGTAAACACTTTCACACAAAACATTAAATACATATTGTGCTACACAAAAGTATAAATTAAAAGTAATCATGGGAGTCACCCCATAATGGTGCTGGATATGGATTTATAACCTTGAAAAATGGATGTTATAAATATAAGTCTTCATGAATATGAAAAATGGGCTTGACTCTGAGGGAAAGTTTAGCCTCCATGCAAGGACGCTAAATCTAATGGAGTTTATTTTCTTAGCAGAGATTCTGTTGTATTTTTTAAGCTGTGGTTCCTGTCCCTGGTGATCGTTTGATTGACAGCTCAGTGGTCAGACGCTATCCACTCATGCTCTCGGGTCTGGTATAAATTACCATCACCATAGAAACTATCAGTGGGAGGGTTCTGGGCGCTGTGGTTTGAGGGGCCCTCGCCTGCAGCTGTTGAACCCCTGCTGACACACACACACAGACAAAACTACCTCTCCCAGTCCCATGTGTACTTTGTACAGCTGGAAGTCTGCCGTTTCTTATTCAGAAATATATCCAGAAGACAAGCCACACAGGCACACACCCAAAGGTGCTTTTTTAATAATAATACTGGCAGGGCAGACAGTACTTGAATAGCTTCCTCTCAAAGGTGGAAAAATATTCATGTTAGCCTTGAATTATTCAGGTAATTAACATTTACACTTCACTGAACTTTATGATGCACCTGGAAGCTAAATTTGGGGTAAGAAATGAGAAACTAACACTTGACTTGAATACTTGACTACAATATGTCTGCTTTCTCTGCTGAACGAAATGGGTCTTAATTGGGATAAAAAAAACAATATTCAGCTTCATGTCCCTTTTATTGCGTTTGTATTTGTATTTGTAGTTTCAGAATGGTGTCCTGCTCACCAGATTTTTGAAGAGTGCAGTGATCTCTCGCGTGAACACAGCCAGGTTCAGGAAGCCTGTGGATATCTCGTTGTTATCCTGCGTCAGGTGACTGTTCCCCAGATTCTCCAGAACCTCTGTGTACTGTTCCTTACTCTCCACATGATCTGGAAACACAACATCACACAATCAAAAACAAGACAATCCTGTGACCTTTCTGCAGATAACCGGAGAAACTAGAAATCAATATAAAACTGTTTGGAGTCCACTTTTCTTCTGTAATGTTACACATTTCCATGAGGAAAAAGGATATTCAATGAAAACAAATGTAGGGTGAGAGACTTGATTTTATCAATCAGGAATTGACAGGATTGTGAAAAGCCTCTATAGTTCAGTCTGAAATACAGTCAGTGTATGTACTGCATTTGCTCAGTAATATTGTGAAATATTATTAGCATTTAAAATAACTGTTTTCTATTTTAATATATTTTGAAATGTAGTTTATTCCAGTAATGGCAAAGCTACATTTTCATCAGCGTTTAGTCTTTAGTGTCACATGATCCTTCAGAAATCATTCTAGTATGCTGATTTGGTGCTCCAGGAACATTTCTTATTATCAATGTTGAAAACAGCTGTGCCGGTTAATATTTTTGTGGAAACTGAACTGATTTTTTCAGGATACTTCAAAATTCAAAAGGATTTATTTGAAATATAAATATTTTCTAACATTATAAAATGTCTTTATATGACTTTATCAATTTAATGCATCCTTGCTGAATATTCATTTATTTAAAAAACAAAATCTTACACCAAACTCTTGAACAGCAATGGAAAAAATATAGTAAGAAAATGGATAGATTTAGATTTCTTTAAAACACAATTTTTTTGTACAGCAGTAATTTTTATACATGATAACCTTTATCCATCTTCTGAAACCGTGTGATCTTGCAAACCTCACCACATGATCAAATGAATAGAGGAAAACAGGATTTTGTGATACAGTGAAAATGATACCAGCTGAAGCACAGTGAGCTCCTGGCAAGAAAACTAAAATCACCAATTTGGTGCTCCAGGAACATTTCTTATTATCAATGTTGAAAACTTTATTTTTATTTTTACGTTAATATTTTTGTGGAAACTGAACTGATTTTTTCAGGATACTTCAAAGTTCAAAAGGATTTATTTGAAATATAAATATTTTCTAACATTATAAAATGTCTTTATATGACTTTATCAATTTAATGCATCCTTGCTGAATATTCATTTATTTAAAAAACAAAATCTTACACCAAACTCTTGAACAGCAATGGAAAAAATATAGTAAGAAAATGGATAGATTTAGATTTCTTTAAAACACAATTTTTTTGTACAGCAGTAATTTTTATACATGATAACCTTTATCCATCTTCTGAAACCGTGTGATCTTGCAAACCTCACCACATGATCAAATGAATAGAGGAAAACAGGATTTTGTGATACAGTGAAAATGATACCAGCTGAAGCACAGTGAGCTCCTGGCAAGAAAACTAAAATCACCACAGGCTCAGACTGTACTACAGATCAAAGAGCTCTCAGCTCCACAGCTATAAAATAAACAGGTACACTTAGATAAGAGCCAAAGCAAAGCCAAACCATCCTCACTTATGATGATCACAAGTATTTGTGGGAGCACATGCTGGACTTTCCAAGGGAGCATCCCTGGAATTAGCATACAGTGCTATAGCTAAACATGATGGAGACATTTTCCTGGATTGAAATTCGCTGTCTTTTCATAAACAACATTCCTATCAAGTAATCATTGCCCTCTCATTCTAGGGGTTGGGTTAAGGCTTTGATTGGTTGATCAGGAAACTGTTCCAGGAAAAACAAAGGACTTGATTAAGGAACACATACTACTTGGGTGCATCACATGCATTGTGTCCTGATCCCATTTCACCTGAATAAATTACTTTGTAGTGTCAAAAGCACATTAAACATAAACAGGAGAAATCCTCATGTCAGCATATTGATATCTATCAGGATATCGGTCTAGACTCTAAAGATTGTGGAAATGTAAGATCACTTCCTTAATAAATAAACTTGCATTATCTGGTTTTGGGTTGAGTTCCGTTTTTCAAGACAGGACAAACAACTTAACGACAAAAATAGGGGGGATTTTTTTGTGGAGTTAGTTAATCGAACGTCTAGCTGACACTTCCTCTTCTGTGGACTTCAATCAACAGTGTTTTTCCAGTGAGTCAGTCCAGCTCAAACAATACTGCATTTCACTCGCAGGCGCCAAGCACTCTAAGGACCTACCTTCCCTGATCTGGAAACAGTTTTATTTTCTCAACAGGCATCTGTGAGCACTTTCAGACACAGTTTTAATTTGTATTGTTAATTCATTTCTTGACATGTTTGAGACCCTGATCTGTTCCAGAGATGATATGTGAAGCTCAAATGAACCTTGAAGCAGATCCTGTTCCTGAGTTTTTAGAAAACTGACCCCTATATCAACACTTTAAAGCATCTGCCACATCTGTGTTTGTGTTTGCATGTCTTCAGCAACATTTAGTCCCGGTCAACAGCTCTGTTTTGAACTGTGACACTGTTAGATTACAGACAGACACATGTTTAGACTAAATATACAGCTCTCTAAATTACCTTCATAGAGTACCCTATTCATACCTGAAGTGAACTCATTCATAAAAATCTTTCAACCCTCACTGAAGATGAGTTTTTATTGCTCAACATATGAAAATACATACATAACTTACAAAAACAAACTAAAACTAACATTCATTTTCATGACTCCATTAATTAAACATAAATAAAGTCCACAAATAAATTTTAGTTTTCAATATATGGTATATTAACAACCCACCTGAATAAAGAGAAAATGCAACTTGATAGCAATAACACTAGACTAGGCCATTTTTAAAATGATACCGATTAGCTCATTAACTTTGGCAGGTCTAAAATACTAGAAATAAAATTAAAAATAAAATGGATAAAAAAAATCAATAAAAAAACTACTAAACTAAATTGATTAGATAAATAAATAAAAAATAATTATAACAACATGGATTTGGGGCATCATTCATTTTCTCAGCACCAACAGTACCCAATGAATTTCACCCCAAAGTGACTCATAGATTTGTTCACATCAACAGAAAGTATGAAAAATACTAATAAGTAATGCTAACCACTAACAAAACAACAAAAAGACATTTCTATCTATATATATATATTGACCCAAAAATCATCATGGACTCTGGACTCAAACACTGGTTTCTAACCAGGATGAGTAAACAGAGGAAAAAAGAGAAAAAAAAAGAAAAAAAAAGTAAAAGCTCTAAAGACTAATAAACCTGCTTGACGCTGCACAGAACTGATACCTGCACTAGCTCTGAATCATTAATATGAGCTACAAAACAGCATTCACAACTTCTCACACACAACCAACTATATCCTGCCACAGTGAGAAGGATGGGGTGAATCAGAAAGAGTGGTGTTTTATCAGGTTCAGGTTTGGTCTCACTCCTAAACCAAGTTTAGCTCCACCACAAACACACAGTGGCAGGAAATTGAGGCCCCTCAATAGTCGTGTTACCGGAATGAGACATCTGATTTCAGTTAAAAGAAAGAGAGAGAAAGAGAGAGCGAGTGACGACGAGGGGGGAGATGATAAAACGTAGGGTCTCCTTTGCGTTTAACTGAACTGTGACTCACAGAATTGAGAAATGGGGCATGCACCCTCAGAAATGAGAAGCAGGCAGATCTGAGAAATGTTTCCCAGAAACCATTATCATTCCAGTCAGGACTTTTGTAAGCACAACATAACATTATAAATAGTGTATTGGCCAGGTCTGTGGGGCAATTTCTCATTTCAGAGAGGAGGAGCAGATGTAAACACAGATATCCCCCTGACAGTTCAGTACGGTAAAGACGCTGATGGTAAAAAAAAAAAAAAAAAAAGTACATATTTGATCATATGATAAAGTTTCAGCGTACATGCAGCCAAACTGCTTACTGAGGTGTAACCAGTGGCCATGTGCGTTGTGCAGTGTGAACAGAATAAGGCACTGAAACTGTGTGTGTTTAACATGGCATAAGGTCATTAAGAGAACTCTGAGGTTCATTAAAACAGTGAAGCAAGTTTCAGTGGCTGTTATTTTCTACACTCTGACTCGGTGTCAAAAACAGGAAAACACACAATCTGCTCTAGTGGTTGTGATGTCAGTGCAAGTCTAGGCCCCAGTTTCTGTCATCTTTCATTAGTGTGACAGAGAGAGTGAGACAGCAAAAGTAAGAATGACCTCAATGCAATTCTTTTAGGAAATGTGTTTTTGGAAGACTTTTTTCACAAATCTTACTTTTTCATTTTAACGACTACTGTAGTTTAATTAAGCATCTTTATGGCATCACAAGCTGACTCTTATGTAACAGTCTGAGGTTTGAATAAGTGATACTAAGTGAACCAGGCTTCCTGAAGATCTCTAAAAAGCCACCTCATATTATTCTAAACTCCCAGAATACATATTTTTGCTTATGTACTAGACCAGTGATTTTCAACCAGTGGCTGGGGTCCACCAACAGACATCAGCAAACTTCCAAGGGTGCCTCAAGACGACTTAAAATGTTTTAAAATATGACAAAACAAGCATTAAAATCAGGTAAGACAAGTAAAGAAAATCTTATTTTTTTCTTTTCTTTTTTTTTACTTGCTCAAAAAAAATTTTCTTTGAAGAACCACGGATCCCACATGGGAGTAATTTTAAAAGTGTGACATCTAGACCTGAAAAAGTAATGTAAATTAGTAAAATCTTTATTAATCTACTAATTAGTAACACTTTAGTATAGAGACAATTTCTCACTATTAAATAGTTGCTTATTAACAGGCCTATTATTAACATAATTGGCTGTTTATTAGTACATATAAAGCACATATCATTTAATCCTATCCTATACCTAAACTTAACAACAACCTTACTAACTATTAATAAGCAGCAAATTTGGACTTTATTGAGGTAAAAGCCATAGTTAATGGTTTGTTAATAGTGAGAATTGGACCTTAAAATAAGGTGTGACAAAATCTTTTAACATCAAATATACATCTTTTTGTAGTATTGCCAAGCTCCAACATATTTCATTTGGTAGAAATGAAATTTGTTTAAAAAATATTCTTCATTATCCTTCATAATCTTCATTCAAACAGGTGGGATCCCTGAAGAACATTCAGCTCTTAAAAGGTCTGGAATCCTGCAATTTAATTTATAGAAACTAGGAGTGTTGGGCCTTCACATATTGCTGTGGACAATGAAAAGTCTTGGAGTTAAAAAGGTTGAGATTGAGAAGCACTGTACTAGATGAAATAATTCAGCAAACAAGAGGAACACAAAGTTCCAAAAAATAAGACTGTACTCACTGAGTCCAGAGTTGTGGATGGCTTTTACAATTTTCTTCATCCTCTGTAGAGACATCTGGTCCTGCTCTAGAGACTAGTGGAAGACAGCAGAGAAATGAGAAAAACGTTAGAATAGAAATTCATTACTAGCATCAGCATCAACTACACTCTTCAACTTCATGTAATCATTGGCACAAACATGTTTAACTGGTTGCGGGGCAACACTTGACTGTTTTTACCGAACAAATATCAGAACAGTTGTCAAGCAGCCTTTCTATCACGTCAGGTCACCTTGATGATGTCAGAACAGGTAAGCTGTGAATCACAGGTGAATCAAGCCTTACGAAAGACAACGACAACTCTTAATGACTCAGAACAGACACTGTTTACAGTAAAGAATTAGTGCACTAGACAGAATGAGACACACCTCCGTGGGAATCTAACCAGAGTTCAAATATCAGTGGTTACATCATGTTTTGGTGTATTAGGATTGAATCACATCAGTTTGTTTAACTTCTTTGGTCAGAAAGTGTCTATTAAAAATGAAAACATGAAACCTGAATGTGAATATCACAATGAAGGGTTTTAAACCACCTTGAGTGTGCGACCTTACAACACACTGACGTATACCTGCTGCTGTCTGCCAGAGATTGTTTAGTCTGATCAATGTTAATAAATCAGTGTCAAAACTTTCTTTGGATCTGTTCTGTTTTGTTTCTGTCTGTAGCTTTTTGGGCAACATCCCAGACACATGGACGTATGGGATCCAGTGATGTATAACTCAGAATCTCACACACTGAAAACTAGAGATCGACCGATATATCGATTTACCGATATTTTTCCCGATATTTAAGCATTTTACAATAATCGGATATCGGTTTTGTAATATCGGATTCACCGATAAACACGATGTGGATGTTTTGAAAATTGCGCGCAGGATCGCCATTGCACCACGGCATCTGAGGGGAGAGGAGACAACAACAACGGCGTGCACAGGTACTTGATTTACTGTAGTTAGTAAACTTTAACATAACAGCCATTAATGCACAAATTAGATGTATTACATAAATGCCTGATATGCAGTTTATGCAGCTTAGCTTGAAGAAATAGAGACGAACTCACGGAGTCACGTAAGATAATCCGTCAAGAAGGCATTTCATAATCTAGAATGACAAAAAACATTATTAGTAATTCTGATATAACATGCCAGTTGAGAAATGCAATAAAATACAAGGTTTTGTTTGTTATATTTCAATATTCCAGAGAATATTATTCAGTGAATTAAACTTTATAACAGTAAATAAATATCGGTTCTGCATATCGGTTATCGGTCACATAAACACGCAAATAATTGGTATCGGTATCGGTTATAAAATATCAATATCGGTCGATCACTACTGAACACCAGACAGGTTAATGTTTTTACACACAGACAGTCAGACGGCACACACATGACCTGTCGTTTACACCGGTATCAGAATATTTCCTCAACATAAATAAAAAAATTTAAAAAAGAGATGTGTGGGCATGCGGGTTCTTCCAAAGAAGCATGTGTCCTACTATATGCTTATTACTTCCTTGTGTTAATTTTCCCAGTTTACTAGGGATTTAGTTTTATTTTCCATCTTTTCCTGGTATGAGGAAAAACCTGAACAGTGCTTCGACCTTAGGGTTTTTGCCAAATCTCTTATCAAGCGTTTTTTCAACAATGTTGAAACAGATGGAAGACAAACCACTTAATCAAAAGGCATTTCCCACGTACAACGGAGGTATGGATTTTAAGTACATAATAAATACACTTTAAAGTGCCCTATTGAGTGCGTTTGTGGTCGCCTCAGGATAAAAGTTCTCTCAAAAAGGTTCATCGCCATTATATTCAAGACTTCAAAAGAGTGGTTTTGGGGGGATTTAAACCCCACATGATGGATGTCAAACATAAAGTAGAGGCCTTATTTTTACATATTAAGTTTTAACAGCTCATAAAACTAAAATAATTAGCTTTGATGTAGGCCTACTGTCTGAACAAAAATGGCTCATTGATATATTTAAGGCCCTGTGAAACACTATTTTTGCAGCCATATATTTTTCATTATTTATTTAGTGTAAATTTGTGTTCAAGTTAAAAGCTGTAACTCTAATCATGATCCTTATTGTTTTTGTGCCTAATAAATAAAAATAAATAATATCATCTGATCATTATGTAAAAAGATAATGCTTACTTAACTTCAGCATATCTACTTTAATAGCTTGCATTGTGAAGATGTTTTTTAAAAAGTAGCTTCATCATATTATTTTCTCTACATCTCTAACAATAATTATACTGAATAATGGCATTATGAATGTTAGTACAAACATTCTATCTGTCTGCATCAGTGGAACAATAAATACATCATCTTTAGCATGTGTAGCACCAAATGGAAAAAGTTCATTTTTCAAGTTTTCAAGTAAAGTTCACTGCCTCCTAACCTCTCAAACATTGGTCACTAAAGCCTCGGTGAACTGACGACACTAGGATACGTGATCCTGTTAGCGGCTGGGGGAGTCATCTATACTACACTCAAAGGGAGTGAGGATGGCCAGAAATAAATGCATTAATCACATCAAATCTGCTGACTCAAGGTATGACTGCAGTGGGTATGTGCTTACATCAGATGTGAAGTGATGTATGATGACAAACAACACACACATATACACGCATAAAAATACAAACATAACATACAAAGCATAATCTTTAATTCAATAAACATCAAAAGTTTGCATTGCAAACTCATCTGTCCTGGGGTTTCTGTATTTCCGTGGCCTCCTGCAGAACATTCAACATGCTGTCAGCTATCAGCCAGAGTCTCAGAAAATGGAAACATAAAACAAACTTTGCCTCTCAAACCCAAACAAGTCTTCAAACACTAACCTTGATGAAAACACACTCAGATATATACACACGTTGCCCCTGGGCATCAAACACACTTAACCCTTCACTTTGAAGCTTTGAAAGACTGTAACACACTCACAAATTGATATATTTACACAAGTAATCTGGTCATACACGGCATATCTGCAACATCAGGAACTGAGCAGCAAATTTATAATCCTGAAAAAAATACTATCACACAATCATCTCTGACTCATTCAAGGAAACTAAAGTTACTTCCATCTTCTCATTCTGTGTTAATTCTAAAGAATATTTCCACAAAAACCTACGTATTAGTTTCATAACTCCTTGTGTTGCTCAAATGCTGCTTGAAGGCATTTTTAACCATTTTTTCATTTACATCCCATAGTTTACTCATCCTCATGTTTACTCATTTAATTAACATAGTTTACTCATCCTCATGTCATTCCAAACATGCTTGACTTTCTTGTGCAAAACACAATGGGAGTCATGTCAGGATGTCCAAGCAGCTTTTCTCCCACACAATGAAAGTGATCATGATTGTCCCTGTTCCCAATCTACTTTCACTGTATGGAAAAAGCAACTTGGACATTCTGCTAAATATCTGCTTTTGTGCTCCATGTAAGAAAGTCAAACAAGGGGTGAGTGAGTAAATGATGACAATTCATTCTCTCATTCCAGAAATTTGTTGTTCAATAAAAACAATTGAAGAAAATGTTCTTCAACAAAAACAACAATTATTGGGGGGGGGGTTTAAAAGCATTTTAATTTAGATTAAAGTTGACTTATTTTAGTATATTAATAATTTTTTTTTTTTTAAATACTTTTGTGTCATCCTGCGGCCCCCTTGAAAGTTTGTTGAGGCCCCCTAGTGGACCACGGCCCTCTGGTTGAGAACCACAGATCTAGAACACTGAAATTCCTGAAAAACCCATAAACCATTTCTGATGAAAAGGCGGAAACAAATGAAAGGCTTCCACTGTCCCAACATGCCCAGCGTTATCACTTGCTGGCAGAGTTTCTCTATTCTCCATTAATTTCCACACAAATGCCTATAGATGAACTGGCGGCTAAAGACCCACATTAGGTTTATAAGACCTCATAACAAGTACGGAGTCTGTTATCAGTCCTGCTTTTCTGTAATTGATTATATTAACACTATTTCTCAATGAAATGATGCAGCTGTGAAGAGATCCTGTGTTTGTGCCAACGTCATTCCAGTCTTACTGTTCAAGACTGAAGACAGCAATTACTTGACATACAAGTGCCCCGAGCAAGTTTACTTGGCCACTTGAAAATAGTCTATGTCTCTTCCTTATTGTGACTCCTGTGCCATCCTCTAACTCTAAACCATAACATAAGCCCATAAAGTGTACAATGGGCAATTCAAACCACTATTGCTTATAAAACGATTCATTGGCAACAGTTTACTAAATGGCAAAAGGTCAGTTCTGTTGTTCACACAGGTGTCCTCCTTGAGTAACCAACAGGTGTAGTTTACATTATCTATGGACATTCTCAACTAACCTTGGCAACTTTAATACTTTTCTTAGTTTATTTTCAGATAAATTAGATTCAAAAGGTCACCCTGACTGATAACTTAATTTAAAAATTAAAAGGATGGATTATTTTATTACCCTACGAAGTGCACACGTAAAACAGGTTAATATAAACTCTGCCACCAAATCTTCAAGGCTGAATTCAAAATAATACTGTTTTGCATATTAAAAAGTCTTGACATGAGTGCAAAGGAAAAGGTTTCTTGTGTCAGAGATTTTCACAGAGATTGAAGGACAGGGATTCACTCAGGTGTTGTCCACCTGCGCACAGGTAAACACCGCGCTTGCACGCGCCCTTACCTCTTCGAGAGCGGCCACGGTGCTGCGACAGTCGCTCATTTTAGACTGGAATCCAGAGCTTCCCGGAGACGATAGGTCCTCTTTCGCCAAAGAAACGAAATCCGAAATACTTATTTTCTCCGGCATGTTTCCAGTTGCACAAACCGAGGAACTTAAAATCCTAGCAAACGTAGTGAAAACAACAACCTCAAGATCAAACAAAGTGCATCTCCATAAAGTCCTCTAAATCCACAAGTGAGCGTGATTGCCAAAGCAGGGGAATTAAAAGTTGTTTCATATCAGCGACAAAAGGCGAAAGTGTCTTTTCTTCTCCGTGTTCCGCCGTGTGAAAGAGTCGGTAAAGTGTCTCTGCCCCTTGGTCTTGGTCTACTTTCTCTGTGTCGCGCGAGCGTTCAATACAGCGCGTGCCGCGTCCAGATTGTGCGCGAGGGGAGGGAGTCATTCCATCATCACGTGGGAATGTTTGTATGCACTGACGAAATGAATAGAGCGCGCGGAGAAAGAATGGATGTCTTCAGATTCATTTTTTGGCTTTTAGAATGAAACATGAATCCATTTGTTCTTTGAGTGTGAAAATATTAGTCCTTTTGAAATGACTCAAAGAGTCTTTTTTATTATTGTAACACTTCTATTGAAGCTATTTGAATAGGCCGATATTGTCTTTCTTATTCATATGGTAGGCCAGTATGAAGACTGTTTTGTTTAAACGTCAGTGTGTCTTACAATATTCCTAATATTTGCCATAAATGAAATTGTTTTAGAAATAACAACATATCCATAAAATCAATGTCAAGTTCAAAGGGTGCAACCTAGCTAGCTTTAAATGTTTTAATCCAAAGCAACAAGTAATCGAAAACAAATATAAAGCAACGTAAATATGATTTCTATTTAAGATTTTTGTCTTGTTTTGTTTCTATTTGTAATTTGGTTGTATAGACAGATGAAAAATCAGTGCATTCTGCACATATGCAGGCCTTCAATGGAGCATTGGAGCATGGTGCAAATTGAAAAGGATTGTGCATGCACTTTCCATCTTTATTCAAGTGTCAATGCAGATAATCCATTTCCTTAAATGCACTATGTGTGCATGAATGAACATGCTTTTCAGTCTAAAGTTTAAATTAAACCCACCACTGATTTTTAAAAAAAAAATCAAGTTTGCTTCACTAACACAATTGGTGCCTTTTCATGTGCAGCCTTTATATTTGAAAAGGCAGACTGAATAGTGCCGCTTTGTTGCTTCAGAGCAACGGAAACTCGTAGTGCTTTGTACTTATATTCCACAGTGTTCTGAATAACAGAATTTTCATAAGACAAATATTGTGAATTGTCTCATCCACCTCCCCTGCAGACATCATAGAGGTATGCCGGTTCTTCCCGTGTCCTTTCAAAAGCTGCACACCTTATCTTATCCTTTAACAATACAGTATAATGTTACATTGATGCAATGTGCTGGACAGGTATCAGATCCGACTTTATCCCTCTAGGTATGCACAAGTATTTCATGGTGTATAATTTGATTAGCCTGAATAAATAAATTACACCGTTTTGGACAGCATTTTTTCTTCATAGTTGGAAATAAAAGCATGAAAAGACCCTTCAGACTGTTTAAAGAGTCATAAGGCTTGATACGTCAGACTCTGTGTGCATGAAAACAGCATTCCTGCACTATGTAATTGTTTCCGGCTTTCTATCTTATTTTTCCTTAAAGACTGAGTCAAACTTAAAAAGTTAAATACATGTATCTATGTCTCCATATGTAAAATGCAGTGATTTATACAATGAACAAGGATTTATACTGTAAAATTACCTCTAAAATTACCAAACATGCAAGAAACTAAACATGGCATTATTCATAAGATAACTAAACCCAAATAAATGAAGTTAACTTGGTTTGGTGACCTTAATTTCTCCAAAGTACACCCCATCCCCCAATGCAATGCATTACCTCACACACAGTATTCTCTTCATATTCTGTATTGGCTTCATGAGTTATTGTTGATGTAATGGTGGTTTTGTGGCCAGACAATACTCTCTTTCTCCCCCTGGCTGTGGCCCCTCTTTGTGTGGCAGCTTTGTTGAAAGGGTCTGAGCAGAAATGTTGAAACTGGGTGGACGTCACTCTGAAGGAAGAGAAAAAGGAAAGTGGGTGAGAAGGAGAGAAAGGAAGTGTGAGGCAAAGTTTGAAAAAGTCATTTGTGAAAACTTTAACAGCAAGTTCTTGTTTTCAGGCGAGGTCTAGTCTGCCTTTGAACTGCCCTTTCATTTATCCCTCTCTTTTTCATCTTCTCCACCTCAGTACCATATTTTAAAGGGGTCATATGATGCGATTTCAAGTTTTCCTTTCTCTTTGGAGTGTTACAAGCTGATTGTGCATAGATAAGATCCCTGAAGTTGCAAAGACTAAAGTCTCAAAACCAAAGAGATATTCTTTATCAAAGTTAAGACTCTGCCACGCCCCCCTAAAACGGCTCATTCTAACACGCCCCCACATATCTACATCACCATGTGGAAATTATTTGAAAAATAATGTGTTTTTTGAACATTAAAGCATGTCAACATATTCTGTTACACCAAATACACAAAATAATGATCTTTAAAAAAGCATCATATGACCCCTTTAAGATTGCTGTGGCCACAGTGTGCTGCATGCTCCTACTTACTGGCTTTTGTCCTTCCCCTATTGTTATGTTTCTTCGACATCAGCCAATCGCATGCATTCGGGGGCTGGATTTGGATGGGGGACGGAGTCTGTTGCTGCTGAACAAAAAATTAGGAGTGTTCCAGGAAAGGTTACAGCTAAGACCAGAAGGATTCCCAGCAGACAACCCCTCCCATCCACACTGCCATGATCTGTTGACTCTAGAACAGGATCATATATCCTGTCTTGTCAGCCCAGGGAGGCCACGTTTACTGTAAAACACTGCAAAAGAGAGAAGACAGCAAATATATCTCACAGGGAAGATTGAGGGATTCTATACATAACTAGAGTGGGACTAAACTGTGCAACAGAAACGTGATGAAGATACGAAAACAACTATAACACTCCCTACAAAGAATCACCACCCAACCTAGTCATAAAATAAAACATAGGTCCTCCCTTTAAGTCATCACAGTGTTTATAAACCAGTTTAGAAGCAATTCTTGTTTTTAATGACAGACTGGTATGAATGGTTATTGTTACTTCATGATTATAAATGTGTTTTCTGTGAGGGTGTGACAGTCTGTCTGGGGAAATTCAAAATCCTCCTCTGGAAACTCATCTGTATGATGCTTGTGTGCAAACCTAGTTTTCTATTTTAATTTAGGTTGTGCATGACTTCACATCAGTTTTATTAAAATTATACTTAGATCTGCCCTATATAAACCAAATATTCACCTCACAGATTGTTTTGAAGAGCTGTGTGCTAAATATTTAAGGGAAAATGTCCTTCCTTATATTTTGAACCACAATATGTCTGTGAGAAGTGGAGCCAAATACAAGATTAGACATGTTAAAACATTTGTTTTTACTGTAAATTAGATTTAAACGTTTAATTCCGATGATAAAATCTGTCATCAACACACTATTCTTTGACTAGGGATGGTTAAAATAACTTATTTTAGATAAGCTAAAATATTAGGGATTTTTTGAAGCTTCACAAAAATAGGTCAAAATTTAAGCACAAAAGCAAGCACAAAAATCAATTGTTAATATAGTCTCAAATAGAAATCTCTGTGTGTGTGGTCTCCCATGATGCATCTAAAGTGAATTAGAAAAGCAGAGAGCAGGTCAGAACCTGCCTGAATGAAACTGCCGGAGATTTTACTGTCAACGCTTCATAACACACATTTGATGACTTTAAATGTGCTTAAGCGATGGACTACGATGCATGTAGATAAAAAAAGAAAAAAATACAAAAAAATATTAAATGCAATTTTTTAAAATTCAATATTCCTGTAATGGCCAATCTGAATTTCCAGCAGTCATTACTCCAGTCTTCAGTGTCACATGATCCTTCAGAAGTCATTCTAATATGCTGACTTGGTGCTTAAGAAAGATTTATTTTCAGTGTTGAAAACCGTTGTGCTGCATGATATTTTTGTAGAAACTGTCATACATTTTTTCAGGATTCTTTGAATAGAAAGTTCAAAAGATCAGCATTTATTTAAAATATAAATCTTTTTTTAAGTGTGCTTTACTGTCGCTTGATGAATTTAAAGCCTTTTTGCTGAATTAAAGTATTCATTTAAATTACTGCATCTAAGCTCTTTAACAGTAGTGTTTATCTACATTTTTTTATTCACTACACAAACCAAGGATTTTAAAAATAACCACGTTTCTTGACCACACTGGTTGACAGCAACTATGTAAGCAACATTTTCAGACAACTTGGAATGAAGAATGACTGCAGCAGTACATCAGTCAGATTTACCCGTCTGTTTTGTGTAAGTCTCAATGTTTCTGTCATTTTCACTGACTCATCTTTATGGTATTTCCTCATTGCACAGGTAAACCCTGCAGCTCACTCCAAGCATGAAAATACAGTTAAACTAAAATATTGTTACTGCACCTGCATACATCCCTGTGGGAGTCTGCTTACACAATACAAGCACAAACTGAAACTTTTAACAAAAAATGTTTTGTACACAAAAATACGACTTTGAGCATTACCAGGGCTTTATTTATTTAAACACCACGATATCAAATATTAAGTGCTGCCTGTTAAACAGACGGTCTATAAAAATGACATCCTGAGAAAATCACCAATTTCCTTCAAATACAAAACCTATAAATACAAAATTATTATTCTGTACAATTAAAAAAACATAATGCTTATTTAAAAACATCCCAAACAAGAAAAACAATACACACTATAAACTACAATCAAATACACAAAACTGCCCAAAATTAGTACACACTTCAGCACACTCATGCATATACAGACGCACATTTTTCAAGTTTGTTAGGACAGGACAGTTGTCCGCATGTGGGACAGTTTCATGAAGCAAACCCCAGGTAAAACATTTGTACATATTTCAAAAGGCAAGTTCAAGTTAATCAATTATTAAATCTGATTAACTGCCCTTAAACCCACCCCAAGTCCCCAACCCCTTAACAAATGCTGAATCAACCTTATCAGGTTTCCAGAATGCTGCTAAATACAAGTCTTTGTTCAGTCTGACTGAGAAATGCTTGCTTCAAAATAATTATTTTCACTGCAGAACTGAGTGTGGGAAACTAGTTGTAAAAATCAAGCTATTCCATACTGAATCCCAACCCATATGTGTTCTGCATTTAAGACGGGTGTTTTCAGTAAGAGTATTTCTACACACACCAGATAAAAACAGTTAAATTCTGCTTCGTCTATGCAGCTATAAACCTACCATTCAGGTGGGGCAAGAATCCCAACTCCAAATAGGGAAAGAAAAAAAAAAACCCTGGAAACAAAGTTCACTTTGTATTCCCAGCAGTTCCGTGTTCAAACAGTATCAGAGGTTTCTGCCAGATGCCAGTAAAAGTCTCTAAACTACTAGTGGAGTAGTGAACCCTGAGAACTCCATTACTGTAATTTCAGGAAAAATTGATTAAACAGACATCAAACAGACTAGAAAACCCCTCACTAATTTATCACTTTGAATTAATCATTTGGAAATGTAAAAATAAAATAGAATAAAATAAAAAAAATCAGCTGCCAAATCTGGACATTCCCTGATGTTTCTCATAAACAGACATGTCAATAGTAAAACCTTGTTTCTTGAGCCATGTAGTACTACATGATCATTACTCAGTGACATGGGAATGGCCACTTTTACAAGATCAAGGTATTACCTCGCAGTGTCTAAAACTAAAAGATGGAGGTAGAATGAACAGATAAGCACCTATTTCTTTATCTAGACTAAAAGAGCTTTTCAGATCTCTGGTTCAGTTGAGTCTGGTTATGAAGATGCCTCCCATACACGCTCTCAAATCTTTACTCTATACCAATTCACTTCTCACCTTTGTTTGCTGACAGCTAAAAATGGTCACACAGCCCTCTACTGGCAATGTTTGGCAGTACTACAATAATTAAAGCTCTAGAAAAGCTTTAAAATGACCTGAGTTCCATATATCTCATTGAAGATTTACTAATAAACAGTAAGTTCTACCTCATATCTAGAAAAGGCAAATACATAGGCCTGATTTTGTCACCGATATTCAAGTAATAATGACCAAAAACTTTGCCAATGGGCAAACATATAACTTAAAATTGAAATAATAAAATCGCATGAAAATTCAGTTTTTGTTTTGCCAAAAATATCTAAACTAAGCAAAAGTACCTTACTTTAGGTAATATGGCTGACAGAAAAAAAAAGTATGGCTTCATAGTGTACTAAACCTAACACATGGATCTCCTCTAGAGGGCGCTTGTTGACAATATTGTCAGATTCTAATCACTATAGTAGTTAAAATATTAAGACATGGTCCCATCCCAAATTGACCCTCTTTATCAGGAACAGAACCGATTAAGCCAATTCAGTAGTGCATTTTATACAAACTTAAATCTGTCATTATGTGAAAGAGTGTTTTAAAAATTCAGAGGATCTGTGTCTGAATTAAACTAATTACAATTGAAATCTCAGACCATTAATCACACTTCCGTCACACTGGATGCCTCATGTTTTAAGCAGATCTCCCAGATCGTATGTGTCAAACAAGTCAGATACGCCTTCTCCATCCTCAAGACCCCAGAGGTAGTCGTCGTGGCTGAGCTGAGGAGAAAAGTTAACAAAGGGCCCAGAAGCGTCGGATGTGAATGCCATCCCAGGCAGCTGGTCTTCAGTGATCTGGAGAAGGCTGGGAGGAAGATCCAGAATCCCCTCCACATCGAGCAGGGAGGTGCTGCCGCTGGTGCCAGTCATCGATGGCTGAGACTTTAAAGGCAAACCTGTACAAAGAAATAGACACTGTTAGTCTGTCATTAGATAATAAATAGACGGCTTTGATAATCATAACAAAGAATAAGCTTGTTGCAGAGATTTGTAGATGAACTGCTTGGACACACAGCTCTCTATTCTCTTGCACACAATGTTACCACTAGCACTTATTCAACTGAAGCATTTAAAATGTAAACTTTTGTTCAAAAAACAGCTTGCTTTGAAAGTGGTAAGTAGTAGTAAGCTCATGGCAATTGTCTCACCTTCGACTGGCTGGGGTTTGGCAGGTGGGAAGACAGAGGGTGTGGTGGCGCTGGGGGTTTGTGGGTAATCTTTTCTGGGTGTGGTGGCGTTTTTGACGGGACTAGCATAATCCAAACATTCTTCAGGACACAAGTACACCTCAATTGGGCCATTCTTGCTTTTCAAGTAAATCTGCAGCGAGCCCTAATGAAAAGTAAGAAATGTGATGTGAAATTTACCTGCAGACAGTGGTAACCATATTTTGTCTAATATCAATTGATTCATCATAAATGAATAGTTTACATTACTAATACGAAAGAGACACAATTTCAAAGTGGCTTTAAATATCTACAGGACAGCAAATGAAACAAAGAATGATGAAAGACAAGACAAACCAAAATATTTACTAAATCACATACTTATGAATTTAACAGTTCAAAAAGATTAAATTGAACATAAAACTACTCAGTTTGGATTATAAATAATATTACAGATAAATAAAAAGCTGAAAAGAGCAGCATATGTTGTATGTCCCACCAGGATTCTTAACTAGCTTGACCAGCAAGATTTCCTTGGTCAACTAGCTCCACTAGAAAAGCAGTGCTGGTAGATCAGCTTGGATTAGCACGGTCCACAAGCTTGATCAACACCAGCCAGCATTAACAAGCTAAGAGCAGCATCAGAATTCATGCGGGTCTTTTCAGCAACGTTAGGTTTGGACTAAGACAAATACTGACCTCAGATGCTTCTGGAACTTCCAGTTTGGTTTCAGATGGTGCTTTCACAGCAATCACAGTCTGATCTTTCAAGCTGCTTATGGTACGAATGTCCTGATAGGTCACATATCCTAATGTGTGCTTCAGTTAAGGACAAACACCTTTGGCATCTAATACAGTTATAACTCTTTCCTGCCATTGACAGAATTTTCCAGCTTTCAGTGTTAACACAACAAAGAATAAGCAGAAAAAAAGCAATCGCGTATGTAAGCAGATGCATATGTAAAATAATGCAATCATCGAGCATTCAACAGCATATAAATCAAAACTGCATAACGTTACCAAATAATATGTTGATCTAAGTGGTATAGGACTGTGCAAGCTTTGAATGTGTTGTTGGAAGTGATCTGTTCCATCCGTTTTGATCATCTTTCTTTTACAAAAACACACGTTTCTCTTTTTTTTTTGCTTTTTTCATGAAACTTAGCCAGATTCAAGTGTTGATAAAAAAGATTGCATGAAGCTAAAATAAAACGGAGTTAAAACTACTGACAGTTCACATACATGGTAACTTTACTGCATTTAAAATGAAAGACTCAGAATTAAGATAATTGCAAAACGGATCTCTTTGCCATGTGAGTGTTGTTTCAAAACAGCATGTCTGTGCAAGCATACAAAAGTATAGGAGACAAATCACTCCTCAGTTCTTCAGAGTACATTCACACACTAAAAGGATATCTTTGGTTGTCTTTGTGCTCTGTCAGTTCACGTAGCCATGTTGAGCTGGACTGAATGAGGTCGTCCAGAGCTTTTTCCTGCCTGTCCAGCTCAGAAAGCTCTTTCTTGAGAGCGCTGGTCTTCTCTGAATTGCAGGATGAGCCCTCAAACACACCACTGACCCTAAAGCACACAAGATACAGAAAACATACTGTTTAAAACCAAGATGAAACCATCATAATTAATTACATATAGTAAGTATGTATGTGTACATATTAATACTGCATCACACGGTTCTTCAGAAATTGTTCTAATATGCTGATTTGGTGCTCGGTAAACATTTATCAATATTGAAAACAATTGTGCTATTTTTAATTTTTTTGTAGAGATGATGATAATTCCCCCCCCTAGGTTTCAGGAGTTCAAAAGAACGTCATTAGTGTGAAATAAAAATCTTGTAAAACGTCTGTAAACTTTGACCAATTTGGTTCAATTTTACACATCATTGCTGAATAAAAGTAAATTGATTTCACAAAATTAAAATGATAGCCTCTAGGTTTTTTTTCCAATTACAAGGACCACAATATGCCAGTTTTGATATCATGAGGCCTCAAAGTTAAGAATGTTCTTTCAGTAAAAGAAAAGCTCTATTCATTCGGATCGATGAGTGGAAAAACCACAAGTTAAGACTCACAGGAAGTTGTCAAACACAAAAAGAGGGGTATTTACAATGAACTACAACAGCATCTTCAGGTCATGCGTTTCAGAGTAGACTCAAAATTGAGCATTTAGCACTTTGGTTTACAGAACATCCAATCTAACACACTCACAGCCACTGGATGTTGTTTTTGGATTTCTTGCGGATGAGTTGCACACCCTCTAAAACATTTGTGATGTCATATATCCGTCTTTTCTGAACCTCCAGAACTTCTGTGGCCCAGTTCAGATCCAGAACCCCATCAGCCGATTCACTCAGCAAGCCCACAAATTTCTTAGTCAGCAGGCCAAGGGAAGTGTCATAACGGGTGCGCTCCCCTGGAGACTTGGGAGCTAGAGAGAGCGAAAGAAAGAGATACAAAAGAGGCATTCTTTTAATAATAGTTTGAGGATTACCAGCTGCAGTTCCTACCAGAAGAGCAAGCGAGGCTTGGACAGGTGTGTTTGCTTTTTAAACAATTATGAGATGCCCTAAAACAGGCATGAACTTCCGCCCCTCACTCAACATATGGAAACAACAAACAAAAGGTCCACTTTTCTCTAATTTGCCGCAGATCATTCTGTTGTACTCACTTTTGGGGCTTGGTGCCCTTGCACATGCAGAGTTTCCTTTCCCTTTTGGCGTGCGGAATTCTGGGAGATAAATTGGCTCTTCTAGATCTAGTCTTCTTTTGGCCTGGGACAGAAAGACAACAGAGAATGTTAATTATGTTATCCTTCAATTGCCTGTAAACTATTGGACTATTTATATAGCTCCAATTTAGCATTGGGTCTTTTGTTTCTATGAATGTTGCATGGTTTTTCAGATTTGCTCAGATAGAAAAGAGTGTGTTGGAAAGCTCAGACAGTGAGACACACTTGAGTGAAAGTGTATTCTTAACTGCATTGTTCAAGAACAATTAGCCTACTCCTCTTTCCTCAACTGTCCGAATACACTGCCACTTTAAATCCGTCTCAGTCCTAAAAAGAAAAACAAGTTCTTGCCCTTTTTTCCTTGAGGGTGGTCACCTCAACAGCTACTAATACTAGTCAATTATAAGATAGGTATGAGGTTTAAACAACCTAAATGGAGGAGGAAAATTTAACTGACAGGCGAGTAGGCAGCCCACTGTCTTAAACACCTCAGGACACATTAAAGTTTACACTGTAAATGGGAAATGATCATGTTTTCAACTACTTTTGACTTGATTGATCAGGTCACAAGGAATCACAAAACGGATCTCAAATCACATTCAAAAGAAGTCTAACAAACACTGAAACACAATAACTGAGAACCTGATATAGTAATCTTCTGGTTAGTGCTATGGGGTTTAAAGTATTTTTGAGCCTGACATGACTATCTGTATTAATTCAAACCTTGTACCATTAAAACCCTTAAGGAGGGCATGACCTGAACGTTTACACATTTCTGAAATCTTTAGCATTCCACACCAGGCAGATGGGCTGGTTTCAACAACCCAACTCCACAAAAAAATGGTTTAAAAAGCCAACTGAAACGGAAATCTGCACCCACACATTGCCTGTTTGATTTCCAGTGGCATTCAGGAGCAGTGTTGGGGGTAACGCATTACAAGTAATGCAAGTTACGTAATCAGATTACTTTTAAGTAACTAGTAAAGTAGCGCATTACTTTTTAATTTAGAAGGAAATATCGGAGTTACTTTTTCAAATAAGTAACTCCAGTTACTTTTCCACCCATGTATTGACTGACAGCTCTCGTGTTGCCATGTTGAGAGAAATCATGAGTAAGTACAGAGGCATTGTGTGCGCTGTGTGAACGTGATGCTTACTGTAGTTCTAGACTAAATATGAACAAAAACAGATTCAGTATTCCTCAAAATGAATAAAAACAGTCAAATGCAAACTCAGAATATTATACAAACTAGGGCTGCACGATAAATCGCATGCGATATTTAACGCGCATCTTGTCAGAAAAGCCGGTTCTGTAATCAGCGGTAAATCTCCATCACGTGCGTGCTTTCACATTGAGCAGCATTAACTACACAGAGCCGTTGTTCACTGACGAGCTGCGCAAAATATCACGCGAATATGAACGTGGGTGTTGCGCAGCTCGTCTGTGAACAACGGCTCTGTGTAGTTAATGCTGCTCAATGTGAAAGCACGCACGTGATGGAGATTTTTATTATTAATAATAATTAAATGTTAAATAAGACAAATATTTATGTCTTTAATCCCATTTTATTAACCAATGTCTTTGCTACTGACCTTCGATGATCCAATTCAACCATACTAATAAGCAAAAATGACACATTTGAGTTTCATTTTTGTTATTGCTGAATAGTGTTGAACTTTCTTCTCCTGCGTCATGTTCTTCATGCAATTTGTTTGAGCTGCGCCCTCTACTGTACAGACGTGAATTTACATTTCCTTCTGCCTGAGGCTCATTCATTTCACTTTTGTTGTGAAAGGGCTTTTACATTTGTAAAAGAAAAGCTTTTTTATATTAAAAACAAACAAGTAAGCCCAGCGCAGATTTAAAAAGTAACGCAAAAGTAGCGTAACGCATTACTTTCCATAAAAAGTAACTAAGTAACGTAATTGGTTACTTCTTTATGGAGTAACGCAATATTGTAATGCATTACTTTTAAAAGTAACTTTCCCCAACACTGTTCAGGAGTGCAGTTCAATCAAGACAGGATACTTCTGTAACAGACACCGAGCATGTGCTGAGAACAGTTCGCTTATCCCGTGTCCGCAAGCATCTGCAAAAATGCCTGCATTGTCCTGACCTGAACGGCATCTACACCTGTCACTGACATCTGGAGCTACTGAGCAGGTGGTTGGGGGAGAGGAGGAGCATAATCTTTCCGGTTTTTTTCGGTTTCCCCTTCCGTTCTTTTTTCCACCTTTACAATTGACTTTTCACCTTGCCTCCCCCTTCACCCATTTGTTTTATATTATACAAGACCTTGATTAAAGAAGCAAACACCTTGTTGAAAAAGTATATGGGGTCTGCCAAAAAAATTCTGAAAAAAAGGGTAACATTTACTGAATGTAGCAATGACCATTTAATTCTGCTTTTTAAACAAATTATAAATAAAAATTTTTTTTTTCTAAATATTTTATCATTTCTACATGTTCGCAACAACAATATAAAAGTTTATTAGGTTGTAGTGCTGTCAAATGATTAATCGCATCCAAAATAAGTTTGTTTACAAAATGTATGTGTGTGTACTGTGTATATTTATTATGTATATATAAAGACACACAAATACAGCATATATTTTGAAAACATTTACATGTATTTACATGTATATATTTATATTCATATAAATTATATCATATATAAATATATTTAATATGTAAACGTAACATTTTTCTTAAATATATACATGCATGTGTGTGTATTTATATATACATAATAAATATACACAGTACACACACTAGTGTAAATTGTATCAGTACCTCCAAACAGTAATAGTTAACTGATCAGGATTCACTCTGAACCGTCAGACTTTCACAAATTGGCATTTTTCAAATATCGGCATCGGCCGATACGTTTTTCTGCTTGGCCGATGTGGGACTTTTATTTTGACGGCGCTGAAAACAGCAGCGCCTGAGCATACAGTGCTCACATTCTCCCTCTTGTTTGCTGTTGTCGTTAACAGTGCACTATTCTTTTTTCATTTTTATATAGTATAACAATCTTTATACATGAAAATGTGTAGCTACATTTATATTATATTTTACAAAAGGTCACAGGAAAACAATTTAGGGTCCTTGGCAACAAGGTTTAAAAAAAACTATGTTTCAACTAAGAGCTGTTTTGGAGCCCCCACTAAATGTTTAAAGTAGAGGCTTGTGGGTTCCCTCTTTGAATTGTCATCAAATCTGTGTTAGCGTCAGCTGTTACCATGCTTTAGCATAGCAGATCAGCTCAAGATGAACACACACGCCCACCTGGGTGTGAGAAGGGGGCCTTTGTGTGGTTCGGTTTCTCTGAACAGCAGCATTTCATGTCTGTAAGAGTTTGTAGTTGGTTCTGCCCATTTCCTGTGTCAGTGGGAAATGAGAACTGAGAAATGCTGGCTCAGAGCGTATGGGGTGGAAGCTGAATCATTCACTTCTAAAGCACTGATCTGGGAGCAGCTTCACTAACTGAAATCCAAACTTTCACTACTAATATTTATACCAGTTTGCTAATAAACAGATTTATATCAGAAACTGGTGGAACCGCTCCAGGCCCAGGAGTTTCCTAAAAATATGCAAATCCATTGAGTAAGCTAACAACACACACAGCTGTGGCTGTACAGGTTAGCAAAAACACCCATGTTTAGGCAAAAGGTACGCATGTATATATATACTGTACACATACAGTATTTAATAAATCCCATATTCCTTTACCTTGTATGTGTAGGTAACGGGTGTAACGGTACACAAACATGACGGTTCGGTACATACCTTGGTTTTGACGTCACTGTTCGGTATGGTTTCGGTACAGCAGGAAGAAAAAAATTCTAAAATTTTTTTATTTTATTTTTTATTAAACAATGTTTTACTGAACAAATTGCTCTCTTTAAATAAATTCAATTATAATTAATTTTATTTAAATCTACCTCATAAAATTATAATAAAAAAAAAATCTATAAAAATCTACCTCAGTTTCTGCTCTAAACTATAGGGAGCCATTTTACATTACTATAAGGTTACAATTAACAACAGAGCCCAAACTTAAATTTAATTACTATTTATTTTTAACTATAATAATCAACACTCAAAAAAAAAAAAAAAAAAAAAATTTGTTAAATATAACACTGTAAAAGATCTTTTCTATTTTAATATGTATTAAAATTGAACTTATTCCTGTGATGGCAAAGCTAAACTTTCAACAGCCATTACTCCAGTCTTTAGCATCATGTGATTTTTCTGAAATCATTCTAATATGCCGATTTGGTGCTCATGACATGTCAAGAAACAAATTTTGAATAAAAGTATTAATTACTTTCACACATTTGAACGACAGTGTAATTTGGTGCAAATGATAAAAAACAGAGCTTTGAAGGAAGTAAAATATTGGGTCTTCACTAGGGCTGTCGCGATTCGTCTATTTTATTCGACTATTCGATTTTTAAAAATCCTCGACTTCATTTTGCTTGCGTCGACTAACCGGCAAAATACCGGAAGTGTCGCATTTCACAGACGAGAATGTATAAAACACATTATTAGTCTGTTTTCCAAGGCTGCATGATATATTAAACCTAATATATTAAACCTAATTAGGGCTGCACGATAAATCGCATGCGATATTTAAATGCGCATCTTGTCAGTAAAGCCGCTTCTGTAATCAGCGGTAAATCTCCATCACGTGCGGGCTTTCACATTGAGCAGCATTAGAGCGTCTCAAATGCAACATGCGCCAACATGGGAACGCAACATGCGCCATTTCATCAGATTTGTAAGGTAAATCTATGATTTCTTGCTTTTGATACTTTATTTGAACTAATTATTATTGCCTCATTGCTATTACATATGTATTTTAAGTAATTTTAAAGGCTATTGTTGACTTACATTTATTTTTATTACCACAAAAAAATAATTAATTATAATTATAGGGCCCTATGAAATCAGTTTTATTTCCAAATTAAGTTTTTTTTCCATTTTCATTTTTCTATACTCCGTTTTAATGGTTAAATTAAATGTTATTAATCAAAATGCCTGTCTAATTAATTGAGTTTTACGGTTTTATATTTACCAAATTCTGTTTTCCATTATTTTCTGGATTCCATTTTAATGGTTCCATTAAATTTTAATAATCAAAAGCATCTCCAATTAATTGATTTTATTTGCACTTTATGTTGCACTTTACTTTTTTACTTTTGGATTTCATTTGGTTTAATGAAATATAGTTTAATAAAATACTCTTAAGTAAAATTGTTGATTTTTTTTGTTGGAAGTTAATCGTTTAGATTAACCGATTAATCGATAAATTAGTCGATAGATTAATAAAAATAAAAATAGTCGTTAGTGGCAGCCCTAGTCGTCACACAAAATACAGAGTCAATTTCTATGGAAAACACTGCTTGTGAAAGCTGAACAGAAATGTTTTCATTCATTGGTTTCATATGGTTTTCATACAGTGTGTACTATAAAAGTCTCATGATTAAATTCAACTGATGACAAATTACTAAGCTTTGCTTATTAAATGAGACACATTTCAAATGGTCTGACACTTCCAATATATGCTTCATTTCTTTTTAGATATTTACAGGCTCATTCTTTGAAGTGTATTGTGCATGAAGTCACACCTCCCCCGTTTTCTCCCACACTAAATGGCCTAACTGAGTTTTTTACTGGTTGCAGGTGGGGAATGAGGGTCTAAATACATGTTATTGTGTAACTTTCCAAGTAATCATCATCTGAGGTGTTTTTTTTTAACAATCACAATCTGCCTGGAAAGAACAGGTTTCTGTACGCCTACAGACACACGTGAGAGAATGACCTGCAAACTGCGCCACTCCCAAATGTGAAAAAACAGTAACATCCTACTCACAACGTGTAAGAGCGAGAAAGGCCATTCTGTGTCAGTGACATATTCCGAGGTGTCAAAATGAGAAAAGAAGCCACAGGTAAAAGAGAAAGGGGGAAGTCCACATGAAAAGGGCGTAAGTGGACGATACTTTGAAATGCAAAACTTGGCCAGACGGGTCCATGCAGAGCGATCAGAGTTAAACAGCTTGAGAACCATCACCCACCTTGTTTATGCAACACCTGGTTACTGGTGGCCCCACAGGGGGAAATAGGTCAATTAAGAGAATGAAACTAGGTAAAATGACCTGAGGGACTCTGGGATGGGGGTGTGTGTGTGTGGGGGGTGGGGTGAAGTGCGTGACCAGGGTCTCTAGAAACAAAGTCAAATCATGTGTTCTACAACATAGTGATCAAAGACCAGTGATTGATCATTTGATCTCAGACACGTGAGATTTGGAGTGAACCAGAGACCTAGTAATCTCAATGACCTTTTCAATCCTCAAAGTTTGGCTCTGTTGCATAGCCCTCTAGTCTTTATTTTCCTTCACTGGAGATCATCAGAACAATGCTGACATCAGTTACTACTCCATGTAGTCTGCAACTATTGTTATGCTCATGCATTTGATAAATAAACATGGACTTGATAACATATGTTATTATCGTAGTTTTGGTTAATATGATCTGGGAAAACGTATTAAGCTGAATGAAATATCCTCACCTGTCAGTCTTTACCTTTGAAGCTACAAATCAAAAGGTCTGTTTTCCAGCAAATGATTCATCACAATCAGAAAACATTAACTTCAAGATCATTTGACTAGTCAGAGATGAAACTTAAGTTACTGACTACAGTATCATTATTAGCTAATTAATTTTACTAACACATTCTGGTTGGATATTCAACTGGAAAAACTGTATCCATGTTATTTTGAACATTAGAGTAGGTGCAACCATTTTTAACTTGAATGTGCAAGGCATCCAGTGTCAGCAGCTTCCAGGTATTTTAGCTGTACAAAAATGATGCTGCTTGACACTAGTATTTGTTATCACATTATTTTATCATTGTAATCACAAAAACGCTGGTTTATAGCAAACAATTTTACCATTTACTGCACTTTATTCTTCTAGTTTTTATCTATAGTGACCAATGAAATGGAAGTGTTTCACATGCGAACAATTGTATTTCTGCACTGAAAAATAAGGTGGATAAAGAAAGTTAGCCTAAATGACGTCAGCAGAAAGGAATTTACATTCATGATTATGAAGATAAACCTTTCCTTTTGGTTGTTTGAAATAACATGCAACATTGATAACTCATTCACTGTGAGAACAGAAATGTACATTTGGAAAGGAAATTATAAGTAATTGTAAAAAATTATAATATCATATTGACTTTGACATTTTGAAGAAACATGAACTATG